CTTCCGCTATTTATGTTTCTCAGGGGCAGTACAACATGAGTCATCAGCTAATTGGACGATTCCTATTTACAAAGCTGCCAATCCGCCAATGAAAATGCAAATGGATGGTTTATTTTCACAACGCTCAATGACCGTCAATTTCAAACACTGCTGTGTTTAACGAGATAAAACAAATTGAAGGCCGCATTACCGAATAACTGAGACCAAATCAATTCTCTCTATCGAAACCGAGATGTGAATGTGATTCTAGAAACACAAGCAAGCCAGCTGCTATCCAAATTAGGCCAACAAAAATCACCAATCGCAGAATAAAATCTACACTTCAATATCCAACATCATCCACATGCATAGCTATTCGTGTGAGGATTTGCGTCGTATAAGAAGAATCTAAGATAAAGGCTTGAAAACGACTATAATTTTGACTTGAATACGTGCCTTTAAGGTTAACGAAAAGAGCAAAGAACAGATAAGAAGAAGCAAGATTCACAGATTGATTTCACACGAAATAACTTCAGCGTTTACGAGCCCATCTACTCGGAGTACGTGATTCAAAACGAAGCGCACGCCGACTCAGACAGACTCTAAGTATATCTGTTGAATCCATTTTATTTCACCGCATTCGTATGTGTTAACGATAATAGTGTTCAATTCACCACTTTATTATGTAAATCAACCATTTGACCAAGGAGGATTCTACCAACAACACACCAACAGAACAGACCATAAAACCATCATGTGTATGTTTAAAAAAATTGACTTGAACATATGTGGACTGCTATTGTCCGCGCTGTTATTTATTATACCAGCATCAGTGTTTCTTACTCTGGGGTTTATGTGCACCTTGGCAGGGAAAAAGGGACCCGAACACAGGGATTCGTTTGAGGCTTGTCGACGAATGGACTCCAAAACGGATAATATTCTCCTGGTGTTTGGATTCATCTACATGCTCGTTGGATTGCTCGTGACTGCATTTGCTTATGTTGTGTCAAAAGCTGCTGCGAAGGAAGCTGCTCTTGCTCGAACCAGAAGTCTAAGGGTAAATCTCGTTTAAATGAAAAAAGATGAAATAAGAAGGTCTAATGAATGGGAATCGGATGAATATTTTTGTGCAGAAAATACTACTAGTGCTGTCAATACTGTCACGTCAACTAAAAGCTTGAATGAGCAACGGCTATTAGCGAAATCGTGTTTTTGAAAGTTTTAATTCATTTTGTCATTTTGAAACTGATGTGGCGCTAGAAGATAATGAACGATTCAACGCCAACGCGCAAAGGAGAAGAACAACAAGGCGTTTTAACTTAAAAAGACTCCGATATTGGCCTGAGAAAGTGCATTTACGACTAGACTTCTTATAATGAACTATCACATTGAAGTTGAAACTGTTGGCAAACAACTCGTGGAAAATGACCAACAGTTCTAATGAACTGAGAATCAGAACGTTCCCAAATGATATCCTGGACGATATAATAATCCTAACACCAAAAAAAATCCGTCTTTGATATAAGCAGAAGATAATCAAAATGGGATCTTTATCTTAAAATCCAAAATAGCAAATCCCTAGACTCAACACCAATACTTCGGATATCGTAATACAACAACATTAGTACAAACAAGAGATTTCTATCAATGACTGAACAATTTTACATTGAAAGTATCGTTAGCTTTGTATATAGTGAAGAGTTCAAAAACGAGTACCTGTAGGTTTTACAGTGTATTTATAGAATGAGCTACTTATTTGGGAATTAGTTAGATTATTTGCCTGAGTAGGGTTAAATAAATGAATATTTAAATAAGAAAGGAATGAAWGGATGAACAGGGGAAATGGAACTAGAAATGAATATAAATATATGAAATGGATCAATGAAAGAATGGAAGAATCAACGAACCAACCAATCAATCAAATAAATATGAAATAAGACGAATACCGAATTAAAGGATGGATAATTGAATAAAAAAAACAGAAAAGAATGGGAGAGTGCTTGGTCAAAACGAATACCCGAGAGAACTAATTTTTACTTCCAGCCCTAACTTTAAGTGGACTCTTTACAGATTACCAAACTCAAGACCACAAACAATAAAGGAAAAAAAGGATATAAAAAGAGTGCTCTAGAAACAAGCGACTCTATTATCACAACAGAAATGAAATGAAATGAGCTGATCTTATGATTTAACTAAAAAACTAGTGAAACCGGCATAAATAATTCAAGAAAATACAAGCAAACCAGGGAATTTTCAAGACAAATTAGCAATCGATCAACGCTCCTCTCAATAAGCCATATAAAAGCCTTATTTACTATCGCCACAACACTATATAATAACACCAAGGGGTCTCGAAATAAAGCGCGCATCTCTGTTTTATGAACCTTCTGTGGTTAAATGTGCCGAACAAGAACCCAGCTAGCCACTTATTTGACCTCCTACGCGACAAAGAACCGCTGGAATTAGAAACTAGTTTTCTTTTCGGGTATAATTATGTTTTAATATTTGATTAAGCAGAAAACACGGCTGACAAACTGAGTTGTTTTAATAATTCAGCCCGCAAAATTTTTTGATGAGCTTTTTTTGAATTGTAAATATGAGCCCGGAAGTGCATTATGCAGCGCCTTCTTGTCTAAGACAGATCAGGTTACTTTATAAAAACTCCCTGCTGAAAATACAATAACCGTCTCTGTTTCAGTAAACACTTCTAAAAATAATGTGACAATGTTTTTGCACAAAATGTAATATAGAACTAAAAATATAGCGGATAATGGGCCGAAAAGATTGAAAGAGATACGACCTCATATTTATTAATTCGTTCTTGTTCATTGGATTTTTTGTGTATTTATAGAAATTAATTAATGAGCTTGATTAAATATGACTGACTTTCTAAAAGAAATTAATTTTAACAGATTCTGTTATCTTTTTAAATCTCAAAGCCTTCTTGTTCCATTTACACCTAGCGTTTTAGTCCAAAAATTGCCGCCAAAAATATCCAAATGAAGCTTAAAATCTGAAAATCATAAAATTAGTCATTAATTCATATTGTCGATATCAACATTAAGTCAGTATTTTATTTATTTATATTGAAAACTTCATTTTATTAAAAAAAACACTATTGACTTTACCTCCGTACGTTTAGGAGGGATTGGGCACGAGATTATAATCACGTGATCATATATTACTGTGCGATCTGTGTCGCACGGCGTTAATCTATGAAAACAAGCACCACTTTGCACTATACTGTTCCAATAGATTTTCTAACATTCAAAAGCATCCCCCCCAGCTCGTAGTTTTAAATGCCCATAAAGGTCTCCCGCTCATATTTATTATGTTACATATAACATTTTTTTTTCTTTACGTATATTATTAGCTTTTTATATTGTATTAAAAAGCATATAGACGTTTTCATTAACCCCTGTTTGCAACATTGATGCGGGAGGGAGGGGAAGAAAGGAAAAACATTTGAAGTTAATGCACACGATAGTATACAGTATTTGTAATGCCCAAGCAATATACATTTCAATGAGAAAATGTGCATTGGTCACGGACAGGCTTCATTGATTTAGTTGATTTACTCCCATATGCACGCATTAAAGTGCACATGACACCATTAGAAATTCATTCTCATCCAAAAGAGAAAATGCTGCTAAGTTCATCTGTGAAGAAAGAAATTGATTTTAAATTGTATTTTCTAAGTTATAGGCAATTGAAACTTGGAAAATGCAAATGAAGTGACGTCTACTAAGGAATGATTTAATATACAAAATCATGAAAGAGAACGTTATTCTTTTTGTTACATTGGAAAACGCATTTTCAGCTCTCAATTATTATTATTATTGATGATTTGAGCTCTTCAACCAAGAATAGCATAGCGCAAACAATGTAAAAAGTCTGGATCAATTCCTTAGTTGACGTCACTTCATTTGCATTTTCAATTTTCAAATGTCTATAACTCAGAAAATACAATTCAAAATCTATTTCTTTCTTCACAGAAGTACTTGGCAGCGTGTTACCTTTCGGATAAAAGTGTTTTTCTAAAAGGTGTCATGTGCACTTTAACACAAAAAGAACTAGACGCATAACTGCGTGAACTTGCGCTTTCTTTTCTCGTAAATAACTGTTTTGATATCGAGTTTAAAGCAATAGACGAATCATTCACGATATAATTTGTTCTCAAGCAATATTCGTTCGTGATATATCGCTCGTAAAGTAATCTGTCTCCAAGTTTGGGGAAAGTATCGTCCCAAAATGTACAGACACTTTCTAAATGCTTGTCCGCCACTATTGTAGTTGACCATGAGATTCATCATTTCATTGTGTGCATGCCTACTACTATCATAGCTGTGTGTATCTTTATGCTATAAATCGACTGTTTACATAGACTCACATAGTACATTCTCTCTTATATCAAGTAAAGAGCTTGGGCTACCAGTGCTAAAACGATATTAAAGGAGCCGTCCCAGGGTGATCCTTTGCGCGCCTCGAATTACAGCGAAGACCTTGATCAGCGCCATTTTCAACGACGTCGAAATTATTCCTAGTACTAGCTGACACAATCTGTCTAAAATCTGAAACATCTCTAGGTTTTTCCACATAAATTCGATATTCATTAGTTCTTTATTCAACATTTTTTTTTTCTTGAATTATTTTGAATATTGAGTCTTTTTTAAACGTGTTATTTTGAGTTTGTCGATATGGCTCGAACTCAATGCAACGAAATCTTCTCGCAGACGCCCCGACTCCGGAAAGAAGAAATTTGAGGTATATCACGTTCAAAAGACCTCGAAAACATACGAACCTTGGAAGGAAAAAAGGGCAGAAGGGGCTTGTCACAGTTGAATAATAGTGAATTTGCGGAACTGTTTGCTTCACGGACAGCCTGCGAGTCGGCGGTTTTCGTTCTGCTACATGAATTTTTGCAAGCAAAACTATAGTGAAGTCACAATAAAAATACAAATCAGCCATTATTTCTACTACCAAAGAGAAGAAAAATACTTTTTTAATGATAAAGTTAACGTCTATGACTGCTTTTTCGCTGCAAGTTTATTGTAATAAGGAGTAGCTTCCTTGATAACTTTGACAACTTCTTCGGGAAACTCTTGTTCTTGTAGAACTCCGTCTTGTTTCTTCACTCGTGGCGTAAAACCAGAACTTTTTTCCACACTGGTATGCCATCCTAAGCAGAATCCAGGATTTGAGTGAGTCCATGGCCCTGGTTCCCATGATGTCATTGAGGCCTCGTATCGGATCCCTACAGCTTTACAGTAATTCTTCAAAACCTTGCTTGGATTGTCAAGAAGATCGTCTGCGTCAACCACAACTGGATTGAGATCTAAATGCTCAGTCACAAACTGGTAAAGGTGGTAGAGCTCCTGAAAGCCAGTGTCTGCTTGGTTGAAGTTGCTGTACCCGGGAGAGTCAAGATTTTTGTATACTCTGTATAGAGATGTCATAACTTCGGCAGGATCACGTATCAAAAACGAATGCTTGAAATCTTTGAGGCCGCCTTCGAGTAAAAGATCAAGCTTGTTTCGCATGTAATATGCCATATCTTTGAAAAAAAAAACAAGATCGATGCCTTCGTAGTCTTTGCACAGCATGGATTTCACATTTTGGTAACTTATTGTAGTATCATTGGCGAGGGGTGAAGAGACTAAATCTAGATTCTGCTTGTCGGGACCATAGAAACATGGACCTAAGAAAGTGTTCTTATGCTACGTTCGAATGCTGTCGAAATACATTTGGGTGCAGTCCAGAGAATAACCTTTACAACCATGATTAACCACTTTCAAACCAGAATATCAGCATTTGACGTCTACTCTAGGACTTCGTGTCAGTGTGATGATGATGGACTTGCCTTGGCGTGTCGCTTCGGGTTATACTGTCAAACAAGCCAAGTGCGAATTATGACCGTCTGGAAATAGCGTTACAAGTTACGAAGTTACGAAATTTAGTATGCTCTCATAAACAACCAGGTTCAATCCGTTATAGTTAGTTAGTTTATAGCTATAATTACAAAAAGTTTTTTCAGTGACTAAGATAGTCAATTCAGGTAGTCTAACGCGAAGGTACTTGTAAATGGATTCCTTTATATCTGGAAATGGTCATAAATATATTATGCCATAGCTGGAAACTACATTGGACAGTAATATGAACAATAATACACAAACTACAAGTGATAATTTAGGCCAAACATTGAACATAATACCCACAAAAAGTGATTCACATTAATTAAAATTCGTCATTGATTGTTATTAATCCAGACCAAAGTCCTATTCCATTATTCCATGCTTATGTATTCAAGCGCTGGCCTGCTTTGAACACTCTAATTTTTTCAAAGTAAACGTCACAACTCCTACACACACTCAGTTAAGAGCACATGCAGTMTTTGCGAAGAAGAACAGCCMGGTMAGTAACACGCCTTGCGGCGGACCGGCCGGCCCGTCCCGAAATCCAACTACGAGCTTTTTAACTGCAAGGTATTTTTTGCAAGGTGTGCAACTTGTAACGCTATTTCCAAAGTCACAGTTTAGCGATCCAAAGGGACCCCAAGGTGCCACAGCGCCACTGTTGAACTGCCCGGTCTCCCTGTGGTCATTATTTGCAATTCATTGAACATGATAGTAGCATGGGCCAGCGGGTTTCTGGTAGAAATAAATCTGTTCTTATATCCCAGCCAGATTTAAGCAACAATTGGTGCAGCAAAATTATAGTACGCTCTGAAATTAAATTTTTTCTCAGGAAAGAAAAAGGTTTAGAGAATCTAGCCCCAAATTTTCTAGCTAAAAAACATTGGAGCTAAATAATCTCAATGTTTGTTAAGGCACGTTTACACTTGCGATTTTTGCAGCGCGATTGTCGCGCGACAATCGCCACTTTGTTCCCGCGCACCTCAAATCGAACGTGTAAACAGCCCTGCGAAGTTTATTATGCTCTCATAAACAACCAGGTTCAATCCGTTATAGTTAGTTAGTTTATAGCTATAATTATAACAAGTTTTTTGACTAAGCTAGTAGAGTAAGTATTTCTTTATACGCGTTTATTGCAGTTTACAAGGGTAGGGTTTATAATTGCTTCTCATAATCTCAGTTCAAAATCCCATTCCCAGGAAAAAAAATTCTATAAGAACTGTTATTTTGAGGAACAGAAGTGGCCGACCAATCCTGTGATAATATGAATCCTTGACTAGCAAAACATGCTCAACAAACCTTACAAAACCTCAGAGCGACTATACTGACCCTGCATAATAGCAAAGCTGGTAACTCTATCTATAAACCTTCTATAAACCTTACTAAAGTCCATCTTTTTGAGACACAGCGTGATAGGCTCTAAGCTCAGTGAGAAACTGGAAACAGATTTCAACTGATGACAGCTGGGTTAGCCGTTTTTGGAGAGCAAACGAAAATCGATCCTTTATGTAATGGATGTTCCTAAACAGCTCTATCAAGTTCGTAAAGCTACTAAAGACGATGTTCCGGAAATTGCTAGACTTATAAAGGTATATATAAGAAAAAAAAAACTCAACATTTATTTAGAAATATAATTCGGTATTTTTGTAAATTCTCGTATTCTCTCAAAACCTGAGGGGGAAAGTAGTGTTTAGAGCATTGAAGATAAGACTTTAATCTTTTGATTTGAATACACTATAACTGGAAAAAAATCGCGCGCTTTAAAGGTTGTAAATTTGATGTAAATATGATGTAAGTGTTCAAAATTCTGTAAATTTGATGTAAATGATTTCCATTTGAAATTTACAGAATTTTGGACATTTACATCATACTACTACTAGCTTTAAAATTGTTATTAAGGAGAAAAACAGACTATGTATTGAAATCATACTCATAAATCGTACACCGACATTCACATACCGGCATGCATGCCTTAATAAAAACATTCAAATAGATATACGAACTCAAGGAAGCTGTTTACTGTTGTATTTTTGATTTTGTTGTTGTTGTTGTGGTCGTGATTCGTATATGTATACTGTCTGTAATGTGTACTGTTTTTTGATTAGGAAAGTTGTTACATGTTTGCTTGTTGTGCCTTCCTCTTTTTTACTTAAACTATTTTTAATAATAGCAAGTGTAAAGTTCATTTATGTATCGGATTCTAGTAGTGTATTGTATTGTATCGAAAATTTGTTTGTGAATAAAATGTTTTGTTTAAAAAAAAACAAAAAAAACATTCAAATAGTCGGCATTTCAGTTGTTTCAAGGCGGGAATTTGTAGCTATTTTGCGTGTTTGATGTCATTTACCTCGTTTTAGTTTCTTTTTTCTGTTTTGATCCTAGTTTGTTTAACAAAATCTCAGGCAAATCTAACCCCGCCTTTAAATGCCACCATATCAAAATCAAAATAACTACTGTCACTACTGRGCTGTGTTCTTACGACAAAAGCACTAACGTAAACAGTACCGCAAGGTTCTACTTTGGGGAACACTGCCATATCACAGTATTGCCACCACATGAAGATCACAGACCGACTCAAAATGCTATGTGACTCGAGGTCTCAAATTAATTTTCTTTTGTTGCTGTTACCTTGAATCTTTATCTTAATAGCAAGTATTTGAGTAAGTGAGTATTTCTTTACACGCGTTTATTGCGACGGAATAAGAACTAAAAAAACATAACTAAAAAAACTACATTTCACTCAGTTTACTGGTCATTGCCCGTATGCGAAAAATGATTATATTAAGAGCAAGTTTGAAGCAGCAATATTTCCTTACTGTTAAGATTTTTATTTCAATCAATAAGAATATAATTATGTATGTTATACCGTTTTATAAAATTTTTGATATATACAGCGCGCGCTCTGATTGGCTGACGACCGTGTTTATATCAGAGGACAGAGACGCGGCATACCGGCAAAATTTGTTTTTCGCTCGAAAAACGCAGAAACGTTTTATAAAAGAACTATAAAACGGCCGCTTGTCACGGTGGGAGTTGAAAAACACGAGAGAAGCAAAAGAAACACTCGCTACGTTCGTGTTTCTAAGGTCATGCTTTTCCCGTGTTTTTCAACTTCAACCGTGATTATATAAGAGGACAGAGACACGCACGCCGTTTTATATTTCTTAAATATAGTTCAATATCTTAGTGGAATACGTTTCGATTTGGCGAGTGCAGTGTGCCTTATATGTCTGTAGCAAATGACCCACGCAAAATTAATAGGTATTTTTGAATAGGGTTTGGCTGAATATCTGGGTGAAACTGACAGGCTGAAGATAGGCGAGGCAGGTAAGAAGGTTACGCAGTTACGTTTACGCACGCATTTCATATTGAGGTTGCTTAAATGAAATATTTACGTATGTTAACGCTTTGTCAAACAAAACAAAAAACAATTTGGAAAATAACCGGTCAAACATTTAGTACGCAGCATAAGGAAAACAGTACCGTTCATAAGAAAAAACACGACTAATAACGTACCTTAACGCATGCAAGAAAAAAAATATATTCATTCTGCTAAGTGCTAAATACGTAAGACAATAAAAAAGAAACGCACGGAACACCGCAACATAACTATGATGTCCTTGCAAAAACTCTAGCGTTGGACCAGTGCACTGAGAGTACCGGCTTCAGGTTATAAAGCAAATAAAGTCAGTAAAAGTTCCAAAATACGCCATGATTATAAAAGTATTGCGCATTTATTATYTTCAGAACTAACACGAGATGGTTTTGGAGAAAGACCGCTGTTTCATTGCCTTGTTGCTGAAGAATTAGTACCAAGAATACCAGGTATTGTGCACTATAGAAGAATTGACTCAGAAAAGTTGTCCTTCGTTTGGCAGCCATATTTGGTAATCTTACCTTATTTAATAGTACTGATTTTTGGCGATTTTCTCAATGTTTAAAGCTGAAAATCGTCTGAAAACTTGCAGATATTAAAGCGAAAACACTTCTGAACAACCGGCTATTTTTTTTTCCAAATACATGTATGGCATGGATTCGCTAGAAAAGGAAGCCCGAAATTAAAATGCACAGGGATCCCCGTTAGTCTCCTCGCAGCCGTTCTTAGTGGCGGGCTCCCTGTTCCCGGCTGCGGGGAGACTAGGATCCCCGTACGAATGACATACAATTCTTTGATACATGTATGCTATTTTTTGCAGCTTGTAAGTAGTGCAATGGTGAGGAAGATAAAACGTATAGGGAGTGACGAAGGAAATAAAAAAGGAAGAAAGGGATTAATAAAGGGAGGGAGGGAGGGAGTGAGGGAGGGAGGGAGGGAGGGAGGGAGTGAGGGAGGGAAGAAGAGCTCATGATCCATAAATAAATGGACAGATCAATTAAAAAAATGAACATGAATTACTGATGGTGAAAGAAAAACGAACAGATAAGAAAGAAAAGAGAAGATTCTCAGATCAATAAGTCTAATATTAAAGAAACATTTTCTTCTTTTGAACAATCTTAGTGGATGAACAGGAACAAAGAAACTCTAAACCAATCCTTGGGATTGCCATATATTTCTTCACTTACTCTACATGGGAGGGGTCCATGCTGTATTTAGAGGACCTCTTTGTCATCCCTTTTGCAAGAGGTAAATTAGAAATGTTGTTGTTATCATCGTCAATCATTCATTAACTTGTTAAAGAATAACGAATAAAGATTCTTTAATAAAAAAATATTAAAAAAGGACATGCATATCTATCAGGTCAAGGTATCGGGACAACCATTATGAAGGCACTTGCAAAGGTTGGTTATTTTGAGTAAATTTTGAGTTTTATTGAAAGAATTTGTAAAATTGAAATAAAAATGAACTAATTGTTGCAATCATTTTAAAATTGGAATTTATTTAACAGTTATTACTTGATTTATTTATGATCATATGATCATATTTATGATTATATATGATCAATTCTTAATTTTGATTGATCTTGAAT